GAACGGTAACAAGTATTAACCAAGAGGAATTCACCACCTTTTCACTAGGGATCGCCAAAAGTAAAAAACATTTTTCAGATGTTGTCGTTAATGTTACAACTACTGTTCGATGACTTGCTCATAGCAGGCGGTGTTGACAGTTCATATGTAAATCTTAAACAAGATGAGGTTCAACAAACAACTAACAGACACCGTCAAAATTTAGGGCTAATGGAACATACATTGAGTGTCACAAGATAGAGGAACGGCGGAAAACCATCCTAACCAAATAACCAGCTGTCAAATAACCTTCGGTTGGTCGAAAACGAGAACAACCTAAATAAGATGAGACTTGAAACAGATGGTAAACCCTACTGAAAGGCTCTAACCATTACCTGCATAAACTAATTCAGAAAGAGGTCAGTCATATGATCAAGGATTGACAAGAAATCTTTCAAACAAGCTTGTTTCTAACGAGAAGTAGAGGTTTGAGAGATTTTTTCACTGAGAGAACTCGGAGTGAAACTGTCTATTATTTTAAAGTTGTCGAAATCCTCAATTTGGACCTTGCTGAACAAAACAGTCATTTGCACCGCCGTAGAGGTCCGATAGTAAGGAGCAGTATGAAGGAAGGATTAGGGCCAATACACTTAACCAGCGAGTCACCCGAGCTACAGTAGCTTGCTCACCATCGTACCAAAACGACGTAACGAAGCCCTTTGCCATCTGGTGTTTGACATTATGCAACAGTCTTCAGACTGTAAGCCGTTAACCAGTGAGTGGGTATAAAAAATCCAGTCTCTTATCTCAAAGGATAAAAACGGAAAACATCCGGGTTCTTAAACGTCTCCAGAGCCACTTCCAGAACACTCGAGACTGTTGAAAAATTTAATGGGCGACCACATGATGGAGTCCACGAACGTTCATAAACTATTTTACGACATACAACACGAATTCAGGAATAGTACATTGTGCACCCTGAACGCCTTATTGTCATGGGACAGCTGGATAGACCACCGGCATCAGGAAGTCCCAGTACATGCAATATTCCGGAACACTGTTCAAGCGTTTAATACTGTGCTACTCTATCCTCTCTTGGTTAAATCTAAGTAAATATAACTCACAGACCTAATATTTTCTTGATTAAGGAACCACTCATATGCACAAAACTTCTGCAAGAAAGTTGGGATAGTGAATTCAAGTTCCAGCGTTTATGTCTACGGTTCCAAAAGGCTCTCTATTAGGCTCTTTGCTGTCCCAAACATTCGCCAACTTTTATTAGTTCCCATGTGCGCAGACGATATCAAACTATGTACAGCTGTCAGATGTGGGGCTAATCGACGTACGTTTTAAGGAGGCCCAACATGGCTGGGAGAGCGAACAGAAGAGTAGCATGACACTCAATCCCTAAAAATTTCAGATGGTTTGATTTCAAACAATGGAGGAAACCAAAATCGACTATATCTGTGGTTACCCCCACTCCAGAATCTCAAAAGGCGTGATATGGTGGGTCAGTCAGAAGTGGTCAACTGGGTAGATCAACTGACGGCAATGAAGTGTGACCTGAAGGACAGTGCACATCAATGGCTAAGAAATGGGTTTGTTTTCTTAGGGGTAGAGATGCAGGCACATAAATGAGTATTTGTTCATATTATCCATATATTAGTCCAATACAATTTATCGTCTACTCCTGAGTTCTCGTTCAAGTGTTCGGACGGGGATTAACATGCAGCATGTCGGTATCAATAACAGATTTCGGACCCCCATCCTAAGGAAGCGATCTATATCTGTTGCTAACAGACAGCCCGGGCATGAGAGACAGCTACCAAGGAGACGAAGCCAAAACCCACTCTACTCCTTTATTGATGAAGATTTGGTCTCTGTGCTGGATGGTTTGTTCGCGGAACATTCATCGTTATTCTGAACGAAATCACTGGCGAAAACTTCAGGTAGAAGTGAAGTGTTCGAATTACTCCACATATGCTTAGCATCTTACCCTGTTGACCACGATGTATATTGGTTATTGGTGACATTAAACCTACCATTAGTTACTTCTTTATTTTGGTTGCATCTACCATTGGTCTGATTTTCGGTCGTATGTTTGTCCATAATTTTTCTGATTGGATGATAAATTGGATCGATTTGAATGTGTTTGTTGAGTGCTTACTGACCTGAGTGTCAAGCTTCTAAAGATTCTCTTGTGTTTTTTTAGAATAGCATCTATCCAAGATCTCAAAAAATTTTTCAGTCGAATGTGTGTCCATAGTTGTCCACATCCATTGATATAAGTGAGGATATGTCGTGGCGTTTGACCACTAGTTAATGTTCATGCATGCGAAGATTATGAGGGCATCCGCTATGTTTGATGTAGTGTTTTTCGCAGTTGGAACGATTTGTTTTGTAGATGATGTTCAGCTTTTCTTTTGTCATTTCATCCTTTGGTTTGCAGTGATTTTGTTAGTTTGTATGCTACACCTATCCAGATAGGTTTCAGCAATCTTGTTGTAGTTTCTGATATGTCTTTTATATATGATAGGGTGATCCATTTGTTGGCTTCTGTACTTGACTTTGTTTCCGATGATGCATTTAGCTGGTATTATTTTATGAAGTTGATTGAGTAGCCGATCTTTTGAAAGATGGTCATCAAGTGTTTCAGTGTGTTCTCGCCCTCTTGAATAGGGTCTGTAGTCAGTTGATTTTTCGAGCTCTTAATTTGTTGCTACTGTAATTGAGAATTTCATTTGCGTTGGTCCTCTTTAGATATACTTGATTTCCAGTTTTCTTTCGTCGGCTCTGGTGATTAATACATCCAACACTGGTAGATTGTTGTCTGATTCCTGTTTCATTACGAAGTTTATGCTATCGAAGACGTTTCAGATCAGATTATAGGTGTCTTCCAGCTAGTCCTTTTGAAGATGATGAATGTGTTGTTCACATAACGAATCCCAATTTTTGTCTTGATCGCTGATAGGATCGAGGCTTCCAGTTTCTGCATAACTGTTTCTGAGATAAATACTGGTATTGGTGATACCATCAGCGTTCCCTTCATTTGTTCTCAGATTTTGTTGTTGAATTGAAAATATGTTGTTAGGCATAAATCTATGAGTTCTAGTAAATGTTGACTTTGAAGCTTCGTGTACTTTGCGAGATTTGTGTCGTTCTTGAGAAACGAGGACAGAGTTTCTTTTACTAAGCGTGGTTCGATCGAGGTGAACAAGGCTATTACCTCGAATGATATCATCAGTTCATCGTTGTTGATTTGAGTATCCTTTATCTGATCCAGGAATTGTATAAAAGATTTGACGGAGTGATTGGATTAATCTATTAAATGTTTCAATATCCGTGAAAATTTTCTTGACAGATTGTATGTTGGGGTTCCGGAGAGTGCTACAACTGGACATAGTGGAATGTTTGGTTTGTGTATTTTCGCATTGTACAGTTAACCATGGGCCAACACGGGCTACACTTCTATTGATCCACTATCTGCCTACTTTTCTCTCTTCCCTTCCTTAAGTTCAAAGAGAAGTCATCAGACAGCTGCTTAAGTACATTTCACTCACCCAGCCTAACTAACAAATACAGCCAACAAGCATATCAAACATCTATTAATTTATATACACGTGGTATTGGACCAAATAGTATACCAAATAAAAAACCGTGCTTTAAACACAACAATGCGACAAGAAGCATACAGTGAAGCAAGCATCACGTTATCAATTGGTAACAATTAGGAAATAGAGGTAAGCGCAACGTCAGCCAAAAAATCCCCTGGAAGCTTACAGTGAGGATAGCATAGAGATGCAATGATTAGGTCACTGACCAACTTTACAATGAAAATCTAAATCATAATAATCAGGAAAATGGTTCAAAAAGTTACAAATTGTCTGGTACTTGTCTTGCTTCAAATAATAGGACTAAGGGAGGTGAGATTGTAATTTATGAATGACCCTTGAGCGTGCCCACCTATCAACTAGGACTAAGTAAGGGTTATAAAGCAATGTGAGGAATTAGAATTATGGTGTGCAATTGATGGTTAGGCTTAGGAACAAGATTTAGGGTTTTCATTCTGAACTGACATAAGTTATAATGCCGAAATGGTATTTAGCCAAATGTGTGGATGAATTTCGCGCTAAAACCCGAGATCTCAAATCCGATTGGTTCGTCTTTAAAATGTAGTCTCGCCGCAACGTGTAGTATTCAACAAACTGGGCATTCAGTCACCCAAGTAAAGATTACCGTTGCACTTCTTGAGGCAACCGAAGACAAATTTTATACCAATGACCCAATACCTAAGCACGACCACACTTCGATTCATTATGACTCATCCCTGTCTGAAATGCTTTCCAAGCCGACTTGACGACATCCCTTTCAGCTGACAGCCTTATGGAGAGGCTCAATAACTCTATACCCACCTGTGGCTTGTAGCCTTTTCCGTACAGGAACTACGTATAGCGTGTGTCATTCTTCGCATTGCTACCACCTAGTGTTGCCTCCGTTTACATGTTATGATAAAACTTTTGTTTGTTCACATTTGGTGAATAAAGTATTCGTTCAATAATCTTAACTGTCATCTTATCTCCGCTCCCCCACATACTAGCTTCATAATCATCCAGATTGCAACAAGCTCATATCGCTCTCAGTAATGTGAAAACTGCCGATCCCAGCATACCGACTGTCCTAGAACAAACGGACTCGTTTATACACAATAAATATTAACCTGAAATCAACTCTCAAATATACTAAGAATAGTGCAGCTGAACAGTAAAACGACCCATAATGAATGATACCGAAGACCTTGAATCACATGCTAACATTGTAAAACGAGATCAAATATTATAAAACCCGTTGCCAAGATAGTGTATATTTGACTCAATGACATCACTTTCCAAAATTGTTATCTCTACAGTTACAAATAAATGAATAAAAATGAACGACGTATTTTACGTAAACTTACGTATTTACTTTAGTTGTCTTGAAATTAATGTTATAGGAATGACGTTGTTTCTCGATGCTGATTATGACTAATTATGAAGGTCAGTGGAAATATCAAATTCCTGCTTATGGTTGCTTAATTGTGGTTACTAAACATTTATCTAATAAGATATGAATACAGTAAACGTTTTTAGATACACTCTAATCGCTTTAACTCTTCTACTTATTACAAACTCATCCATGGCTTGGAAGTCGAGCGGTAGCACACATACAGAACTTATAAATAATCTATTCAGTAATTAGACTTTCTCCTTAACATTTCAAACAGGAAATCGAGTAATTTCATCTGAGATTGTCAAGAATACTATGCTTTCCGTGGATCGTGGGTACTTTGCCAGATCGAATTCTTATGAAGACCGACCATCCTCTATCGGCTACGCCGCGACTATCAGTGCTCCTCATATGGTAAGGATGATGGTCCAAGTTATACAACACGATTATAATCCCAAAATCTAACAAAAACAGCTTATTTTACACAGTGTGATTATACAGTGGAGCTAGTTGGATTTTGAGTAGCATGCGACTGTCGAATTATTATGAATTTAATAGTTAGTTGGCGATGCATTCTTTTCTTGTTTAAACCCTATCGATCTCTCTGGGAAGAGATAAACCAATAGTCCTCTACTTTCAAATAGGGTTTCTCAGGTAAATAAACGTCTTTATTTCTAAGACCATTACTGGTGTAATTGTCAGTATGAATTGGCCTAGCCAATCCTTAGTCGTTAGAATTTGTCATATTATAAACTTAACAACTCAGAAAACCGACTGAGTAATTCTGTAGAACTCCTTGTTCTTCGTAAACCACTAGGAAGCGAATGATCTCACATACTGTTTTCAGTTATTCGAATTGAACGGTTGTGATAAGGATGTTTGGTGAAACTTTAATGTATGAACGACCTTCGAGCGCTGTTAAAATGGACCTAAAAATATTCACCTGCTTACTAGAGTTGAGAGAAAGTTATAGGTTAGTGCGAGGAATCATGGTTTGGAATTAGAGTTGGTGTTCTCAGTATGAACTAACATCAGCCATAACTTCAAAATGCTATTTAGCCATTTGAATGTGTGAATCTCGCGCTAACAAGCAAGACTTGGTGTCTTGAGTCTGATTAGTTCGTCCACAAATTGTAGTCTCGCCACTGTCTTGGATAATCAGTTTAAGACCGTTTGGTTTTCTCTACATCAGTTTATTAGGAATAGAATCTGTTGAAATTTCAAGCAATGATTAGCGACTTATTTGCGGTGAATCGACATGGTTAAACTTCCATGTACACCATGAAAGTATTTCATGGTATTAACTGTTTTAGAATTAAGCAATATGGAATACCTTCAAGCATTTTGAATACAGACTTTTCCGAAGCATCTCTAGGGTTCCTTAAGATTGCTATCGTGGAAGTTGTTTGAACCTTAAAATTATGAATTGTTTTGGCAAACTGGTTCATGTTAATCAGTTTAACCACATTTTTTATATACATTCTGTCGCATTGTAATATAATCTGATTAAGATGGCTACGAAAAATACGATAGCATTTATTCCCTGTAGACCTTTATATTGCTGATGGGTTCTCATTAATGCAGAAGTTTACTCTTAGTTTTTTATTTGGTTTACAGAGCCAAAACGACCTTACATGTGCTAAGGCAGTTCGTTGATATCTGTTAACCCAAATATATGTCTGAAATCTTGTCATGAAAAATCTGGTGGTTGTAGCGTTACACATAATATTGTAATTTTTCGCCAAAATTATTCATCACCTTAACGTGTTACTTCTCATTCTTGCGTTAATGGTTTTTATACTATTGAAGAGTCGGAACTTAAATCACTAGACTTTCGTATGAGTTTTGGCTAGTTGGAATATTTCAGATTGGATCTTCCGAAAATTATTTCATCCGATTTCTTCATCAGATTAGTATATCTTTGTTTCAGCCTTTGATTTTCGTGTAATTCAAACAGCCACTAAATCTTCGTCTTAGGAAAAATTAACCCTCAAAATGAGCTATAGTACACTAACAAGCAAGACCAATAACCATCCACGTAATTAATGTCCACAACTATCTCATTTTCTAAATGAATGTCTTTTAGTTAAAAGAGGCTTATTGGTTGAAGAACTTGTCTTCCAACTAGTAAGTGGTGAGTTCAAATCCTCCATTCACAAAATAGTATCACGAGAAATGCAGCATAAAAATAATATTGGAATTATACCTGGTTAATAAGTTACATTGCATTAAAAGTTGAAGGGTTGGGATCTTAAAATGAAGTTTAGATATTTTTTTAGCCGATCATTTTCGCGAATTTGCAAGTCTCTAAAGTCATAAGTGACATGAATGACTATTGAATTATCTGTGAATCAAAAAAGTATCATTACTCCTTACTTTCCACTAAGTATTGCACTGATCTTTTTCAAAATATCTTCATTCTCAGATGTTATCATTTTCGAACTCATCCTCATCGATCATTGGTTATACTGCAAAGTGTACTTATAAAGGTTAATTCCCTTAATATCTGACTCCAATAAATAATATCTCGTTAACCGAGTATTTAACACAGGCTAAATCTTCTAGTAGAATTATGAATTTACTCGGAATTATTCAAAAGCACGAACACAAGTTGTAGAGGTAGTATAATGTTAGTGATTAGTGAAACTCCACAAGTACGCAGATATCCAGCACACAGGGAAACGAGTGAATGTTCAAAATCCATGTATATTTGTGAATGTTAATTGGTTGTGGATAAATTATTGATTGACTGTGTGTTACAACCAATGAGAGAATAGATAAAATTGGTGTGCAGACACGCGCTCAATCAAATTCCCACAAAATTTTACGCAGTGGATTGAATGTCTGAATCACAGTGAGCAGACAAATAATACAATAGTTGAATGGGCTTACTACATAAGCTCCCATCCAGAACACTGATGTTTTTTTAAATAAAACTTTTAGTAATATCTATATTCGATACAGAGATAAAAAAACTATCTTTAAGATAATTGTACAACAAAATGTAGTAAGTAAGCGTTAAGTTAAAATAACAGCTACGTACCTATCTGGCCGGTTTACTGTTCTTCCTGATGTTGTAGTTTCTGTTGCTGCTGGACTTCGGTGTGAGGTATTGTTAGTTTGTATGGTGCTTGCTCTGCTGCGGATTTAGACGATTTTATCATTGTCTGTTTTTTGGTGTGCTCTAAAAACGCTGGTTTTGCTCCATAGACTGCAAAAGTTTTTATAGCTCCATGTCGAGCTTTTGATGTTTTGCCATATCTTGATAGCTTATATCAGGGATTGAAAAGATATTAATATTTACTCTCGATAATGTATCTGCTGCATCGTTTTCCTTGCCTTTTATATGGCGTATGTCAGCTGCAAATTGCGAAATGAATCCTAATTGGCGAATTTCGCGCGGATTATATTTGTCATGATTATGTATCAAGGATTTATTTGGAGGTTCGCGCTCAGTAAATATTGCAAAAGAATTGCCTTCTAACATACCGGAAGTGTTTGATGGCTAAATAGACAGCCAACAGTTCTCTACTGAACATGTTATATTTTGTTTGTGTTGCGTTTAGCTTTTAGAGATAAATGCAAGGTGTTGCCGTTGTTGGTTGACACGTCGCTGCAGTACAGCACCTATTGCCACATCAGAGGCGTCAATCATTACTTCCGAAGCTGCATCGAACTTTCTTCGTGCAAACAATGCTTCGGTGCTTAAGGCGTTTTTTAACTGTTCAAATGCTTGAGGTGCCATAATTAATGATTTAGCGCGCCCCCTTAACAAATCAGTTAGTGGTTTCGTTATGTCACCACGTTTCGGAATAAAAGGTCGGTAAAAGTTGATCGTCTGAAGAGAACGTCGTAGTTTTCTGAGTGAATCGGGTAAAGGGTAATTTTTGATGACTTGTGTTCCCTCAGGAACTGGTTTGATACCTTGATTATCGAGTACGTGACCTAAAATGGTTAGGGGGTTGCTTTCCAAACTCACACTTCTCAGGATTGACTGCTAATCCATACTCGTTTAGCTCCTCGAAAAACATTTTTAGATTAGTTAAATGTTTACTTTCATCTTTGCTGTTGATAAGTAAGTCGTCTATGTGAGCGTATACAAACGGTAAGTCACGTAGCACTTGATCAGTAAAACGCTGGAAACTTTGTACGGCATTCCTTAGTTCAAAAGGCATGCGAATAAACTCATATAGCCCGAATGCGGTAAAATTTTGTGTGAGTTTGATTGAGCGCGTGTCTGCACACCAATTTTATCTATTCTCTCATTGGTTGTAACACACAGTCAATCAATAATTTATCCACAACCAATTAACATTCACAAATATACATGGATTTTGAACATTCACTCGTTTCCCTTGTTAAACTAATATTGAAAACCTGAAGTTGTTCGAAAGCTTTACTTTCTATTTAATTTCTTTCTTAAAATGTGTAGCATGCTTATGCTCTGGAAGCATTAAGAGATCATCTTAAACCTGGTGCACATGCTTTAGATGTTGGATCAGGTAGTGGATATTTAACGGCGTGTATGGCTCTTATGGTAAGTTTATCTCGCTTTATTGAGATATTATTGTCATATCATGTCATCGTTTTATATCCTTCACTTATAAATTGAATATCATGTTTATGCATATACAACATGTATGCTTCCCTTACTCTCATTCCATATAATTTCACTAGTCTACCAAGTTCATTTTTGTGTACTAGACTTTAAGCTGTATTTATTATGAGTAGTTATACTATCTGGCTCTTTACAATCAACTAAATGGTATAAAGTGTGAACCTAAAAGAGCAAGTGTTCCAACCAACATAGCTCTATTGAGTCATCAAGACAGTAAGACTTGACCATCGCGTCAAGATAGCAGCTACAGTTATTACGATACCAACTACTGATTGTAACCATGAGGTAGTTACTTTTTTGTTCGATAACATAGTAAATCCCTTAGTTAAACTTAAGTGCTTCGGTATAAAATTTCATCTAATTAGAATAAACATCGGAATAGTTCTTTCAAATTACTATCTCAGAAAGCTGATATTGATATTTTGGAGGTCATAATTGATCCCAGCTGCCTAATTTAGTATGTTATCAACTTTTGTTACAGACGAAAGGAATTTAATTTGGTGACTTATAACACTGACTAATCGATAATTACTCTTAAATATCGGTTTCTTTCCTTTTATGTATCAGTAAAAAAGTACATACTCGTGTACTATTTTTCTTGGAAAGGTTAGGGACATTATTATACTGTTCAAACTTCAATAGTCTTAGTGAGTTTGAACTTTCAACCCACTGATTTAAGTAATTCAACTACGAAGCAGTTGCTTCATATCATTATCAATAGGCATCATTTCAAATAAATCAATAGAGTATAGCTATAAAAAAACAACTGTACAAATATAAGTTCATGGTTATAGTACTAATAAAGCATCGTCATTATTATATCCTTTCAGCTTCTTTTAATATACTCCTATATGCCTTTGGATATTGTGACGATTCAAACTGATATTCTATATAGTTGAAAGGGTTTGGTGTAGAATATTTTAATTTGTAAGCTATATTCTCAAATCTATCTCAGTTAGTTTACTATTAAAAACCAAGGGATACTGAGTATCTGTTTTTATCTTAATATGGGACTCCTCAGCGGCGCCCATCCACAACCCTATTAGGGGTTGGACCCCAGAATCGTCAGGTCTCACAGCAAATGCCGAACCATCAGAACTACTGGGTCAGCGTTCAGCGGTATTATTCAGAATATACAAAATAACCCAACGATTATTCATTGCCACTAGTGATAACTGTTTCTGTTATTTGGTAATTGTTTCTAACTTAGTAAGACATAATAAAATGAATGTTTTTATACATATTAAAAAGTTTGGTTAATATAATAAACAATTATAATTATAACCTAAAGACTGACAGTTTTATGAGTGTTAAATAATTCAGTATTGTTGAATTATTGCAGTTATGGACAGTCCCATCATTTTTTTTCAGGAAACTTTATTCTATAAATTAAATTTATCGTAAAATATTCATTTGTTTTATGTTCTCTAATTTTGATATTAAGGTAGGCCCTACAGGTGTTGCTGTAGGCATAGAACATATTGATGAGTTGACTAAATTTTCTCTATCAAATGTTGAAAATTGGTTTAATCATAGCCAAAATGCTCGATTATCTGGAATTGAATTAGGAAAACAACTTAAACTTGTTACTGGTGATGGTCGTGAAGGATGGCCGTCAGATGCACCTTATGATGCAATTCACGTAGGTGCAGCGGCTCCAGTTATTCCTAATGCAGTAAGTTCAGAGATATATTTTGTAACCTAAAATTCATGAACATTAAAAAGTTATGTTTCTGGATGTGTGTTCACTTTTTATTCATATCAACTTGAATGTTATTAGTTGATGAATAACTCATCCTCTTAACTGACTACTTCCTTCAGTTTGGCACAATCTTACAATGATCACCTCTATCTATTAAACTATGATTCATCAGAGGCTGAATTTTTGAGAGTGTTTATAAAATATGCATTTAATCAAATAATTATTATGTATTACTCGAGATCTATGCGATAACAACAATCAGTGATTGGAGACGTTGAGTGACATTTCTCACAATCTTTCACAGTAATACAAGTGTATTCACTCTTTATTTTCCTCTTGATCTTAAGTTCCAATATTCCTTCACACATACACTTTCATCCCTTCTTGAACAGTATTTCAAATCCTTAATGTTTCTCTCTATTATTGCTACTCATCTTTTTAAATTCATTTGATCGTGCTAATGTGGAGTGACCAGCTGACCTTGCCGACATTTGTAGCTTGCTCTACATTGACTTCAACTCACTGACTGATGTGTTTTCCTCATTTTTTAATATCATTTTTATATTTATTAATTTAGCTAAAAGAACAATTGAAAATTGGTGGTCGTTTAATTTGTCCTGAAGGACCAGAAGGTGGAAATCAAGCATTAGTTCAAATTGATCGTTTGCAAGATGGTTCCTTTCAAAGAAAATCTTTAATGGGTGTGATTTATGTTCCGTTAACCGATAAAGATCGACAAGTTGGGCCAAGGTAAGACTTGGATTTTTTTTGAAAGATGCCCATATATATCAGTAAGTATTTCAATCATACTAGAAGTCAGTTGCTACTCAAACAGTTCAGTGATAACGTCTGAGACTGTGAGCTGGGTTAAACAATATTTGTGTTAGGAAAATTAGCTTATTTCGTTTTCATTTGACCGGGACCAAATACATTGGTAGTTAAAACATTTAGGCAATAGATTATTATTATTATTATTGTATTGCATATACATGTTTACTGTTTACATCTACAGGGAAATTTATCCATGACATAATATGATTACGCATATATGCACCCAACAATGGATTGTTGTTTTATATTATTCTAAAATTTTTAATAAGTCGACTGAAATAACTACTATTAAGAATCTAACGGTTTTAAGGTGTTCAACATATTTGAAATTATTTTTTTACGGCTAGTTTTTCTTTCCAAGTAGTATGTAGATTGTAGGTGTAGTGTTAAAATAGAGAGTTCTAAACTAAAATAAAACACTTGTCCAATCCTCTCTAGTTTTCAATGGTTACCCATTAAAGTCATTGCATGATGTAAATTATCTCCAAAGTCAGTGATATATATATCCCATACCTCGACTCATGTTATTAACTGGTGTAAAAGTTGGAAGAAAGTTAGTAGTGGCCAAATGAAGACGTGGCATCAATCCACGAAGTCATTGACTGTTGAATTAAGCCGTGGCGATCCTGCTGTAACCTTCTTTTACTTTCTTCATAAAAAGTGGTTGTGTCTCCCTTACCTGGAAGATTTCTTCTGATTGTACCTTTCCGTTCCCTCATTACTACCACACTACCCTACACCAATCTCTTCGTTATTGTTCTCTTTTTTTGCGCTCCTTAGCTTTTGTTTTTCTATTTCTCTTCGAATTCTCATTGTTTTATGTGGCGCATATATATTGGCGCTCTCTTGTACCAATATTCATGTGTTCAAATAAATAAATAAATAATGTTGTTAAGTACAGATCACCTGGTTGGTATTTGCACGATCATAGTGACCAAAGATTGTGTAGACAATTGGGTGAAATGGCTCAGAATTTATCATAATGCCTAAAGTGCATTCACCATTTATCTTCTTATAAACTTCGAGTTCTAGTATTCCTCCATACATGCGTTTTTTTATTCCTTTATTGAAATCATATATTAAGTATTTAGTCTTTCTCATTATCATTTTTACCACATTATTTTGACTCCACTATTTATCTAAGTAATTTCATGTCGTCGTGTGGATATGGTATAGTAATTTAAGCTGGCGTATATATATATATATATATATATATATATATATATATATATATATATATATATATATATATTAACTATGAGTATCGTTTCTTCAATCCAAGAATTCCTATCTTTCATAACAAACATATCACTGTCTGGTGTTTTGTTTTTACGCATGCACTTTTTCGAAATCTTCTGATAAACCTGAAATGAAATATATTATCCTATATCATCGTACTCGTCCTTGCTACTCAGAATTTAAACTTTCCGACTCAGTTCATAGTTAAATCCGCCTAAGTTAATAAGTCACAGATCACCTCGAAAAGTATAAAAAAAATGCGTTGGCGGACTTTTGAATTTTACTGCTTGCTATTTTTTTCTATTCGGAAATCACTAATCAGGATGCCTGTAGATAAAGATCCTAGAGTTACAAAATCAACTGCATATTTGTACCAACCTCTTACACTAATGGTAATCATGTGCTTACTGGTGATTGATTTAGAGAGGGGATTCCAAGAGTTCTAGTGAGAAGTTGTAATCAGGGGATTTGAGGAAGTTACTCACCGATGGCAATAACGCGAATTTATTAAAGTTAGACATGCTAGCTGGTGATATCTATCCAAAAAAGGATAAATTACCTAAGTTGATCTTAGTGTTCATCTACAAATTCAGCTCCTGCAGAGATAACTATATTGAGTGTACTACCAGACAACTTGACCAATCAATAAGTGAATACCTCTCAGCTTGGTTTGGAAAGGACCAGAAAGAGACAATACATATCTCTATCTTGCCACACTTGGTTGACAGTGAGCATATTGCAGTTATGTAATCTACTGTATTGTGATCACTAACTCACAAATTCCATCGATTAGTTTAAAAAACTTAAGCATAAATATTAAAATGGAGCATGCTAACGGTCTAGTTGAAAGCAATATATCTGTGTTGTTCTAATTTTCACAATCGGAATCTCTAATATTTTAAAACCTTAAAAATACCCATATTCATTAAAAATGCACATAATCGGTCTGGAAAATCTTTTGCAAAGGAAATGAACTGTCGACAACGTACCATCGGTAATAAAATCACAATTCATGGATTATACTAAAGTTGTTGCGAAAATTAGTTCCGAGAAATTAGGGACAGAACTAATGAAATCACTCGAACATCGAAAACCAGAAAGAAAATTCCCTCTTGACCCGGAGCGGTACGTTCATAATTTTCCTAGTGTTTTCAAATTCATTTTCAAGGCGGAACTTAGATAGGAAATGGATGTTTTCTGTAGATGTTGCTTCCTTGATCATCAATGTACGATTAACCGAGACTATTGATTTTGTGAGTCAACAATTACTTGAAGAACAGATCAGTATTGGAATTTCCCAAATCAGCCTCAAAGAATTACTTCTGAAATGTACAATGAACGTTCATTTGTCTTTAAAAATACATATTATAGATAATTTGATGGAATAGCGATGAATCCATCACTAGGTTCTATCCTTGCTGATTTATTTCCTACGAATCTAGAGGGCGAACCTTTCAAAGTCTATTGATGAGACTGACTTTTATTGCTGCTACATTGCTGAAACTCATTATCGTCGATTAGAACATCGAAAAGAAGTCTTATAGCTACTTAACAATGAACATTCAGCAATCAAATTTACGTGTCAAGAGGAACTTGATGACAAACTACATTTCCTCAACACTTTGTTATACAGAGAAGAAAGTGGGTTTCTCGGTAGAAACGTGTATGGGAATTGTTCTTCAGCAAGCCAGTACACACACTTTTCGGGCCTTATACCCATTCATTATAACAGAAACCTAGTTAAATGTCTTGAAAATGAAGCTAGGAAGATATGCTTAGAAAACACTATAAACAAGGAACTAGAGCTTAATCATAATATGTCGATTAAAATGGGTTATCCACAAGGTTTTTTTTAGAAACACTTGCATGTAATAAACAGGAAAGTAGAGACATTAACAGTCCGTAAGAATCTTCCTTTCCTGAAACTGCAATTCAGCGGAGATATAGCTGGTGATGTGCTATTCATAGACTGACTAGAGCAGTGGAGAGAACGTTATTAATCTGTTGTGATTCTTCAAGTTAGGGATAAGTTACCTGGTTCTGCCACATGTGTGTACCTACGATTTCAGCAGCTCTTGTAGAGAAATCTATATTGGACGTATAACCGAACAAGTAAGCCAGCGAGTTAGTGAACACCTCTCTTCGTGCTTACGAAAGGGTATCGTCATAACCATATGCAGCGCTGTTCTGTCACACTTGATCGATAGCGCTCATATAGTACATAGAAATAGGCCATGTAAAGTGATTTACCATATCCCTACACGTTTTCTTTATGGGGTTCAATCTCATCTTTTACACATAGCAGAAGTTATAGGAATTCGAGCTAACAACCCAAGTCTCTGTATTCATAAAAAATTCGCAACATCTCTATATCTTCCTTGGCCAAGTTAGTCTTAATAAAAGGTTTTATTTATTATTTTCCATACTCTTTGTTCATTAACTTTTCTGTACTCCCCAACTTTTTCGAATATACGCACTACTGTCCAATTATCTGAACAATTCTCATTACGTATTCTTATAGTTTTTATAAAAGTCACTTCAGCGAATATATATATATATATATATATATATATATATATATATATATATATATATATCATCTAAAGGTTAATTGCTCGCCACAAGACTTAAAGGTCCCGGGTTTTTTCCCGGATGGAGTTTGTGGACGCGCACTGCAACGCCAGAATTACTATAGGCCTTTTTAAGTACTTATATAATTCGTTAATTAAGTACAGATTTGCCCATTATTATTATTCAATAGTTGGAAATCGAGTTTTAACCATTTGATCACCGCTTTGATAATAAAGGTTATCTTCAACGTTTTTAGTGTTCACTACGTTTTATGTATTCACTATTTACAGACATTTTTTCGTTCATTTAGTAGGCAAGTGCTGCTACATTTTTATACTAAAGACTCTTAGAATCTGCTTAATAATTAACCCATAATTAGGACGAAAGTGTACAGTAATAAGCCTCAAGGAATCACTTTAACTGAACTTAACTTATACATATTATTCATAAGTGAAATTGACCGAAAAAAGTAAAACCATATCACCAGTTAATTTATGGCTCTCCTTTTTACCGGAGTTCTTTTAATTTGGATAATACGTTTAAACCAATAAGTGAAAAATTCGCCGCATAACACACCTGAAGCCGACTAAATTGAGACGACTATTTCGGCTCTCTGAAATATTTATATATTAATATTTGCTAGTGTCCTGTTATCTAAGTCAAATGGTTTAGTTGTGAAGCTTTTATTGTTCTTCTGGGTAACATCTTCAACGCCTACGTTATATAGAAGTGACTTTTTCAATTAATCGCCAAGTGTTACATCACTTGATTTCGATGATCTATTTTGATTGACTGTTATACAAAGACTTGTAGCTACAACGCTACCAATAATTAAACCGAAGATTTCGACACGTTTTGTCAGTGAAAAATTCGTTATCCTGAAGAGGGGGGAAGTTGAAATTACTCATAAATCGATTGATAACAATTTCAACGACATAAAGTTTACCAGAGAAGAAGAAATAAAAATTTTCATTCTTAGACGTTTTAATTAACAGAACAAACACAAGAACTTTGGGAACCAAATCACACAAATGAGTTATTAAACTACAACAGTAGCAACCCAACACTATACAGAATAGTTATGTTCGGATACTTTAAAGAGACCAAAGTTCACTACAGTATTCGCGCGACACGAAAAGTTGGAGTAGCTAATTTTCAATCTGTCTTCCGTAGGAACGACTGCTACAGCAATATTAAAAGGTGTTTAGCGAACAAACATATAATCAAAAAACGAACCCTGGGAACTATTGAACAGACTATTCTACCCATATAAAAGAAATATTTAACAAACCGTTACAAGAATTCTAAAACCGTTTAAAATCAGATGCTCAGAAACCAACTCAATCACTTCATTCCATTCTGTGTAGACTAAAAGATGCAACAAGAAAATGATGATCAACAAAATATCATTTACAAAATATGTTGCACCAACTGCGAGTAATATTAAATTGGACGAAGTGAGCGCTTTGTTCATCTATCCATAAATGAACACTGACTAGCAATGTGAAGGTATGCTGTGCTATCCTGATATCAATACGTGCAGACAGCCATGGACATTAACTGGGTTTAAGGGACGTCGAAATTCTGCATTGGGGAAAATCTAAGAATGCCAGAGAATTTCTAAAAGCATTGTTTTCAGACCGATTGTCAACCAACAGATACATTGACGTAGACTCAATCTATGGATTTATATTGGGAGAGGTCAATTAATCACAAGGTTAGAGGCTAGCTGACGAAGACAGTCGACGTGAATATAAGGATAAATGAAGACAACAGCCAATCACAAACTGCCATCAGGGCGAGCTGATATAAAACTTGTAAAATAACTGAAAACCTTACTTCTACATGAGGTAGGCCCTGGAGATGCTGTCAATAATGGGAAAAATAGCTCAGAAATTAAACTATTTTGCTCAGAGAACACTACATCGAAAGCGTCAACCTAAGCTTCGAATATGAATATATATATATATATATATATATATATATATATATATATATATATAGGTTCTGCAATGAATAGTAATTAGCTTAGTTTAAAAGGAGCTCATATTTGAGTTGGTAAACTTGGCTACATTAGTCAACTCATATCACGGATAAACAGCAGTTCAATTTAGTCTGATATGTGAATGGGTGTACCGACGAAAAGTTTACAGTAAGACAGACTAATTACTCATGAGTAATACAGTTCTAGTATCACAAATCTCATAAAAAGTTGTAATCCAGTATTACTAGCCAGTTTTTCCTTTGATTATATTTTGCCCTTACTAGCATCAGTTTCGTGGAGATTTCAAATTTCTAATAGATTAGATCATAAACTGATAATGAGCTAGACAACCTTTGAATTTATGGAAGGACTGTATGGCCGTTCCATCTTTTTATCAGCTTTCTACAATCTTCATAAATCCCTCTATACTAATAATAATTGTCAACTAGTGACTAGATTCAAGATGTAACCGATTGATTTATAGCTAGAAGTCGTGATCAGTGGAGGTCAATCACACCGGATGTAAGACATTCATCCACCACATTCGACGGGAAGGAACTGCGCAATAACGTAGATTGATTAAAGTTAGAACTGTACACCATTGGACGCTAGTGCGTTGGTTTATAGGTTAAGCATTCGCGCGCGAAACCACTGGTCCTGACTTCTATTCTTGGATCCGGGTTCTAGGATGCACATTACTTAGGAGTCCTGTATTATCTCCATATTCGCTTTTTACTTGTTAGTTTGATATTCGTGTTTGTTGTATTCCGTTTTCACATTTCTTTTCTCTATTTTTCTCTCCCTATCCAGGAGGTGGCATTAAATCTCACCATTTTTCTTAACTACTGTTATTAATGTGTTTTGTTTTTTTCGCTCACAGAAATCAACCAATTATCATTTCATCACCAACACAATCATCACCCATGCATATTTCTTACCATAAACTGTTTACTGTATTCTTATGTTACATGAATGTGATTTCATTGATACGGAGCATTAATTAGTAATTGACAGCTTCAATACTGAACATTATTTGTTGTTTCTGTGTTAAAATGTGAAAACCTATTCTACTTTTTCTAGGGGGGAGGTGTGAGAAACTAAACTAGCAAATCGTTCTTACTCAATGTGCTTCTATACTAGTTATTATACCTCACCATGATTTCGGTCTGCATTTAAATCATGTTTTCATTCATAAAATGATTATATTACTATCACTTCGATTTATATTGTTTTCATGTTCTATCGGGGTTACCGCCTCCGTCTTCATCTTACTTTTTTGTCTAATGGCTAGTTATTACTACTACTAATCATCATCTAGTAATTGATTAAGTATTTTTTTACTGAAGAGAACCCATCATAGAGACATAAAATGACTTATTTATATATACATTTACCTCATTTTGACATTTTATAATGACATAAATTATTTATTTTAACCTGTCGCATTAATGATGTTTTATTTGTCTTTTCCGTATTCTCTTCATCGCTTCCAAGTCCATCATGAAAATGTATGTGTGTGCATGTGCGTTTTTGGAGGTTCGACCCATGCTTTATTGTACGCATTGTAACCAAGAAAAATAGTTGATATGTCGTCTTTAGTTTTCTATTTTTATGTTTAATTATGCCCGTTTTGTTAGACTCATAATTACAAGTTATAGTGATACAGTAGCGTTGTTTTCCACAAATGAGCAATAGTAGCATAGTAGTTTAACTAACTGGCCTTCTAACAAATTTTTTACCAGTTTGAATCCCCGCCCAAACCAGCTTTGGTTTAAACCTCCGATCATTGATATTATTATTAGCACTCCTTTCACAATAAAATGTCCAACTTAACTCTGAATACACAAATCTCTTGTTACTGAGTTGCATTCTACCGAGTTATAAGCTGAAATAATCTGTTTTTCTACAAAAAGCTGGATTTTCGCCTAACTAACAGATGGTATTGTAAAAAATACGGTCTACAATAATTTACTATTATTATTTAAACACAAATATTAGTACAAGGAGGCACCAAATATATATGCGCCACACCTCGTCATTCGGTTTGTTTGAGGGCTGGAATACTGCCAGGGAGTCACTCCCCGAACCTTTAATCTAGAGGTCTAATCTACAAGGTAGTGGGACAACGTTAAGATATTCAGTCCCATGGTATCCGGTGACCAACAATAAGTTTATATGCCATTTGTTCTTTCAGGATCCTGGAGCCCATGTGCATGATTGGTTTGGAATCAGGGTTTTCCAACTCCCCTAGGTGAATCCTCCGTATCTACCAACCCGTTTAATCACGTTAACTCGTATGTGGTCAATTTCCAAACTACTAAGCTTTCAGCAAGGATAAAGCTTACATCTTATGTTAAGCGCTTACCTTTTACACGATTGCCATTTTGTATTTCATTTGTTAGTGTAAATCAGATGAGTTTGAGTGTTGGATTCAGTAAATAAGATTGTTGACTCGAATTTAAATGCAATCGTAGGTCTACTTAACTCATTTACCAAGTGGGGACTCGTGTACTTGGCTCTGTCACACTCTAAGTGTAAGGGCTACTGATACCACCTGACTTCTGAAATGAAGGTAGATAGAGCAGGGTTCGGACCTCCGACTTAGTAGTTGAAATTCAAGCTCCTTAAGCACAGCTTCACATAATTTGCGGTTACAAGCCCTATAAATCGTCCACTGCCTGTTTATCAAGATCGTAATTTCTTCCTTAATGATTACTATTGACTTCTTTGCGATCAATAAACGTCGTTGGTAACACTGTTGGCTACTATTTACGTTGACCCTTTGGACAGTGAAATTACGACAATGCGAACTGAAAAAAATATTGTTTTGTCCGGAGCTTACCACAACAGTTTCTTGACTTCAAACAATAATCGTGCTGTTTTCATCCTCCTCGACACGTCCATATTGACTATTTAATCGGCTATGAAGTGGATTGGGTGAGATAGCTCTTTCATAACCAGCTTTTTCTGTCTAGATTCAATAAACGAACTACTCACTCTCGGGTGTTATATACTCTGAGCTAGATGGCTTATTTGCAGAAGTAGCGTTCCACCCACACATGATGCAAATCAGGTTATCTTATGCGGAAGGACAGATACTGGACATAGTTGAGCAGTTACGTTTCCCACTGTCAAATGAAGAAACAACGCTACCTTAGTTTCACTAGTTATTGTAATCTTAGTAAAACATAATTCCTTAAAATAGTTCAATTCTATTTGACCACGTACAACCACGCAAGAATATACAATTTATTTGTTGCAAAAAATCAACACTTTAACATACATAACTACGACATAACATACTGAATACATATCAATTCAAAGTAGATCTGATATTTAGGCTAAAGCTTATCCAGATCGATGTTTTGCTACGACAACACATTCTGAAATCCAAGATATGTAATCTGGCTGTTTTGCTTCGTTTTTGTTTGAATGTTTCTTGCTTATGCTATTTATCTGACCTATCCATCCTTTTTTAATTTAGATTACAAAGAGACGACTTGTAACATACATGATGATAGAATACAACAGTTCAATTTTATGGATGAGATCTTAAAAGTTGTAAAAAAAATAAGTTCAAATAAGTTTGTTCATAAAAACATGTGATCTTTTATTTTCGAATGGTATGTTCAGTTTTTAGGAGAAAATGGATAGATCGTTATTCTAGAGATTATCATTCAATCTAAATGATTGTACGTTGTTGTTTGTGGTACTAATCAGACATGCTCGTTCCTTTAAGGAGACGGATATGTTGTGTAACAGCTTAGCCTAATATACAATAATTGTCTAGAATGAATTGAACTACAATGGTTGAATGTGATTAATCGATAGGTAAATAATCCTGAGACTAAACATTTTCTGAGAAGGAATGTAATCTAATTAGAGCATGAACCAAGTTTACAAATAGAATGTATAAAACAGGACAAGAACATTTCGATTATCCCACCAAGCTATGGTATCTAAACGCTTAGAGCACTATGAAAAAAGAAGGGAAAGTGTTCATTCAGTGGTGGTTCGTTACTTATCAAAAACAAAAGTGTCAACACTTAAGACTGGTTCTTGATGAGATTTGTATCCACACAAAGATCAGAATCTCAAACTTTTGACTACTAAGTTCTTATGTAAGATTTCAGACTACTTAATTGTTTTACGTAGTATAGACTCCCATCTCGACTTATAAAACATTCTCGATTTACTGGTTGACAAAAATCGTATCTGTTTCGCACATGAGCCGTAAAGTTAAGAATGTCCCTCGGGTTTTCCAACGATAGCTTACATGTGAATCAGTAACATAAGCATGCTTTTTTGTTAATGCTTTAATGGGATACGTACTTAAAATAGGGAACAAAGCATCTTATCTAGCCTATATTTAACAATTCTTCGTGGTCATCAACCTAAATCGATCTATTTCTAATATACAATCCGTATATTATTTGACTATTCTAACCAGATGGAACTAAATAACTCACCGAACTTCTTGCTAATTATACAATGATCGCTAAATGATCTTACGAAGCACGTTATAATATATAACATAACTTGAATCGTCACTTTGATGGACATTTCACTTTTTATGTAGTCAAATATCTCAGTACGTTGTTTACGCAGTACATAAATAGCCTTATTGAAATGACATGACATAAACTCAACCTAGATAGACTGTTCGTCACGCACAGAAAAGCAACTTAACTCATTAAAACTGCTTATAAACGATTGAGTTATTTACAAAGCTCGCCTCTAGGTAAGATGTTTACTCTTCCAAATGAGATATTCAAACTACAAATTATTATGCTTAACAGGTATCCTACTTATTGAATGCATTGTGCCACCACAAATCCCTTTCCAAATCATTATGGATTTTTTAATTTATCAAAATAATATTGGTCTAGACGTTGTCTCAACTTTTCCAAAAACAACTTCAATTTCTTGACTAGCCATTAAAAGTCAAAACTGGTTCATAAAACAATCTTTATACACCGCATTTTGACGTTGTAGTTCTTCGGAATACTTCTACCAAAGTAAAAAATCTTAACCTTACAAATTAACTAGTCAGTTCCCACAATAACGTCTTAAGCAATACTTCTTCATACCCGAATCATCCTGTACAGCTTATTTAACAACATACATAAAAATAATTGAATTAGTAAACACCTAAGATTTTTGAAAATTGTTTCACGTTTACTTGTGCCGTGAAATCAACAATTTTTCGACAAATCTCTGGAATCTTTAGTCTTGACAACTGCCTCTATACATCCTATATTACAAATTAATTTGGTTTTAAAATTGATTCAATAATCTGACTAAATGATAATTAGATCAGCTACTGAAGATGACGAGACAAACCGAAAAATCAACACTTTTTATACTGTCACTATTATTTGTCACAAATTGAAATTTTCAAACCTAAGAATATTCTTTGTTAGGGACAAAGAAGAAACACGATTGATTAGGTGTGCAGTTAGATTGCGTAATGAATAAGACTATGCATATGTAATATTAAACAACATTGTTAGAAAGTCAGCAGGTTCAATGAAGAATCTGAAGACTATCTTTTTTTAAAAAAAAACTTATTCGGCAAGCACGATAATAAGCAGGAAGAAGTATTCCAGTAGGCTATAACCATACGAGAATTGTATCATATCCATCTTTGAAGTTCGGTAATAATAAACACTTGGAGCTACCTAGATTCTTTTCAGAAAAATAAAAAGACGATAGCAATAATAAGTTAACTCATCTGTCCAGTGATTAAGTTCCAGCTACACTCTGAGTGTGAGGAGTAAATTGATATTTCCGGTTATCTAAACTGAAGTAGACAGAATAGTGTTCGGATCAGGGACTTGGTGACTGAGGGTCGAATGCCCTAAACACAAATCCCTGCCCCTCCAAGTGAAAGAGGCATAGAGATGGATATTTTACAAGATTATACACTGAGAGGTCCTACTACACCTTTTATTTTTTACAATTAAGATACGAATTCCAAATGCCGAGAAAAATAACTGTTAACATATAACTAAAACAAACAGGTTTGTGTACTTAGATTTGAATAACCTGTATTTTTATGAGTACCAGCAACGATACCATCTGCTTATACAAACTGAAAATAATGCGAGATTTGAATCTAAAACGCTACAGTCGAAAGTCGGCTGTCCAATCACAAGTGCTTTAAAACACAACAGGAAAACATTGATTCATCAGTGAGAACTACAGCTTGGGAGTATGTATAACGCCAACGTATGCTTCATATAACAAAAGTAGAGGTACATCGAAAAGTAATTCGATCCTCAAAAGATTTTTTTCGATTTAAATCAGCATTGTGTGGATAACAAAGAGTACACTTTTATGTTGTAGACATGTCAAAAGGGTCAGAATTATGTCAGGGATCGGTTGAATTCGGGAATGTGGGCCACTGAATTCAAACCTAGCAGTCTAATGAGTTACAGGATTACCACAAAAACGGAAGGTCCTGGACTGTCTCCGGTAGGGTTGTAGACGTCTACTTACAACTGTCTGGTGACCCCAGTTTTTATTGGTTCTCCAATTGAATCCCTTGGCAAAAACCAACTTTATCATTATTATCGAATAGTAGTTCAATATTTTCATTACATTAACAATGATATTAAAGGTTGTGTTCATATATATACATTGGGTTGCTTACCAGTAAACTACAGATGAACTTCTTTCGGTATATCTCTACCAAACCCAATTTCTCGTATTTTCGAAATGAAATTTCCCTCTTTAGTTGCTTTATCACCAGCTGCAGCTAGTTTCTTTTTCTCATCAGAGGCTTTACCAACTGGGCCGTAACGTTTTTCCCATAGTAAACGATGTTTCTGTTTCATAAAAGCATCAACAACACTTGTTGACCAGTGTAATTCTCCATCTTATAAAAGGAATGAGTAAATGTATTGTGATGAAAAGACTGACAGTTATTAAATTAAGTACAAAATGTGTTTTGATAAAATCTTTGATTGAGAGACTCAAAGAAGCTTCGTAAACTAAACAGAAGGACATAAATTAATATAATCGAATAAACCTCAGTTCGTTCCGTTCAGACAAAATATTTAAAGTCTATTCGTTACAGAGATTGTCTGGTATTGCGATAAGACAGTAATCAAGGTGTGCATGCACGAAGTCAAGACCTCTGAATAACTTATGCATGTAGTCCCGTTGATTATATTGAAAAGTACGTCATCGACGAATCTCTGAAAAGTCTGGGCAACATTTCTTAAACCTAGTCAGTCATTTGAAATATAGAACCTAGCACATATGTACATTGGTTGGAGTTACCATAAACTGAAAGGCATACACGAAAATTCATAGTCTGAAGGGAGTGATGTGTGGTGATGGGTAACGGACAGGGTTGGTGTCTGCACTAATTCGTAGATTACCAATGGTGGGACGCCATTTATCACTGTCCTAGGGATTATATATAATAAAGATGTTCGTAGACTGTAAAACGTAGCTGGTTACACACGGTAATTTCGGTTGCGTTTAGTCCTTAGTACAGATCGAGTATCGATTGGAATATAAAGAATGGCATAACACTAAAACTTAGGATCTAGATAAGTGTAAAAATGTGCGTCTGCATCACTAGGACTGATGTTAAGTCATATCACGCAACATCTACGATTATCGACTGGTTTGCAATTTAGGAAGACAAGTGTTGTAGACTATATGACAATTCAATTGTTAAAATAATGAGTACATTACCGATCAATTAGTGATTTGGAATGATTGCACTGTAAACAATAATTGATTAAAAGACTGAATTTACTAACTCGTTATATTGACTTACAATTCTTAAGTGAATGAAAATCAACACAAATTGGTCATACACTTAGCAACAGTCGTAAATTAAAGTACGAACTGCGCTTAACTGGAGTGGGCACTCAATTTTAAATTATTTAAACCCATGTTTGCTTCAACGAGCAATCTATTATTAAGGGATCAAATACACACGAAAACATACATTTAATGTAGTAGTTGACGGCTGCATCTTCATATTCAGTGAACATAGGACCACAGAATTGATAAACATCTTCTTTTTCATAATTGTACCACCGCATACATTCGTTTTTGCGTTTTCGCAGAATACGAACTATATTGAGATCCACTAGCCTAAACAACATTTAGAATATTCCTTATAAATGTAATAAAATGACCGTCGACAAAAGGTCTGAAACCAAAAAAAACGTACGGAAAATACACCTAGACATGGCTTTGTCATGATCCAAAACTACATAGAACACCAGGGCAATGCACAGCCTTAAGCCTGTTAATAAGATCGAACTTTGACTACGAGAAATTTTCAGTGTGAAACATTGAGTACTTAAACACTGTTGAGAGAAATCGAATCTATCTAAAAAAATTTCGAAATTGTTGAAAATTTATCTTAATTGATATGGCTATCGAACTCACAAAAATTTTTACATACGAAGGTAAACACTTGGGCTGCCAACGAAAGGTACAAGCAGTTTGGTTTGCTCAATACTGAGGTTGACTTTGTCAATTGAATTTAAATAAAAAATAGTCTACTAAATAATGAGATATTTGACTATATGGGACAGTTTGCTATAAAACACAAACTGTGATATATATTTCCCCTATAATGGTGCAACAAGTACACTTTTGAAGCTTTCCACTTATCATAATGAGTAACCAGGCGTGATAGCCGTGATATTTAACCGTTTTCGCCTATCATCTTTGTCTTCGTGTCAGTCGAGATATAGATCATATGACAATCTGGCCTATGGTGACAATAGTGAAAATATGTCTTCCTATTAGCATACACTTTCATTATACTGAAGTAGTTCCTGATTTATATACCGATTGCTAAAACGTACTGTGAGCAGAATATAATGAACCTGTCTCATTCAAGTTCAGACAAAAACTACAGACTAAACCCAAACTTCCGGCAAACAAGTTAACCAATGAACACATACTTGTCTACTGAGTTAATACAAGAAACAGAAATATTCGAAATCCAATCGGACAAAATTACTCAGGATAAAGGCTTACCGGTCTCTATGAAATTGCTGATTGGCCTCCTCGATGCAAGCCAAGTCATTAGTTAAACACTGGTCAATCGTTGGAACACGGTCGTACCGCTTATGATAATATGGGTATGGAGTGCGAACTTTGTTAACAACTTGTTCTACAGAAATATCTTCAGTAATTTAGTTTTTACCGCGAAAAAGAGAGACAGGTTTGTCAATTATTGACCCAACGATACTAGTAAATCGGTATTTAATGCTTGGTTTGAACTCTTTAAAGAGTTCTTCCCTAGTAAGATCATCATGGCCATCATGACCATGATCACCACTGCCTCCCATAGTAGCGAATGATACAAATTACGCACAAGTAATATTTTAATATCGCATTGTTCAATTCCAGTTTATGGAAAAAGTTAACCGGGTGGCCGGTCGTCTGTTATTTGATTGTATTTCACCTTAAAAATGTGTCAGAATATGAGGCTTTGAGTAAATATCAAGGTAAAAGGTATATAATGACATGTTTGTTTAACGGTCTTCTTAACAACGAAAATCAACACCATATTTTCTCTTTATTTGTGACACTTTATGTGTAACCACACTCATCCAATACCTACTATTTTTCTACATCGATTGTGAACGGTTACTAACCAAGTGGAGGTGGAACATTTGTTAATCGAATGAACTCCGCCAACAGTGGTTACCCCAGAGGGAGCTTTCAATCAACATTCATTACATAACAGTTGCTATCGTCTTAGTTATTCATGATATCACGTTTTGTGATTTCCGATTTTTCATTCATAGGTAGTCACTTCAGTTCATAGAGTTAATATTAATTATGGTACATTATCATTAGCTTTCCGTATTGCTGCATCTTGAATAAGCTTTTTTACTAGGTTCATTAATAATATCTTTGGTCGACGATTCGATAAAAAGCTGGCAGTCAGAATGATTGGTTGACAAGTGATTGCCACTTGGTTCGCGAATTCTTTAAGACCATCCCATAAATTCCCCCTTTCCGAAGACGATAGAAATGAGGATGTCACTTGCTAAGTTAGTATTACACTATATCACCTCTAGCCTTTCTGCATAGCATGGAGTGTAGGTTCAGTTTATCAAACAACTTATTATATGGCAGCTTTTTGATTCCGGTAACCGATCTGTTTGCCGTTTTTGAACGTTTTTGTGACAATTAAAAGTATTTGAATTATAAACCCAAAAAGATATATAACATTCACGTCACTGAAAGCTCTAAGTCTTGAACACAAGGTTCAAAAGGATTTCGTCGGATATCGCGCAGCATTTTGAAGTGGTTTTCAAATCTCGATGACGACTCCTTGACCATTATGTTCCTGGACAACTGTTAGCTTGACATTATTTAACACGTATGTATCTGTAACTTGGCGACCAACGCTCATTACAATGCATTTGAAGATATTATTAAGAGTCTGCCAAACTGTGTACCGCTCACATAATCCTCGTAGACAATTTTTTGACTTTAAATTACTTCCGTTGCTACTTATATTCTCCAATATCTTTATATTATTGCCATACAAAAAGACAAACGATAATCGCAAACTGGAAAGTTCAGAAAGTGTTGCAAATGCTTAGAACGTACCAACTTCACTGACTACAACTTCCCTTTATCACAAAAACATATAAATCGGAAGGTGAGAACGACGGCATTCGACAGTACATCTGGATCAAGGTACGATATATTGAAGATTATGGAATCCAAGCTGACTGGTTGTCATTGACAGTAAGTAACGTGGTGTACTAAACTGTGATCTGGTGGGAATGCACGATCGAAATTAATGAGGACTGCTTAGACAGCTATTCGTTTTTGCGATTTATCTACAAGTCATTCACACACAAAGGGAACATAACCAGTCTCTAAGCTGTGTTTTGAGATACCCTACTAAGCTGATCAACTCGGAGATAACTCATACTATCTGTTGGTGCCCAATTAGGAAAATGTTTATTCACATAACTGAACAACCCATAACCACAATTCTGACAATGACCTTACTAGAGTCGATAAACGATTTGTCTGTAAATAGCTATCGGTCTTGCAGAGTTCGTCAACATTATGCGCTATTACCAAGTTCATGAAAAACTGATGTCAAGCTTAAAACTGTGTTGCTTATTAAAGAAATTTGGAACTTTATCTAGACACCTGAATAACGTTTTGCAAATAATATTTCCCGGCGTCCAGATATTAACGCTTGTTAATCTCACAGGACATTTGTTCCCAGATTTATCCCTCATACCTGCATGAAGACTGAACATATTGTGGGTTGGTAAACGGTTTCGTAGTCTACTCTAACTCTATGTTCTAGTATATCTGTAACTCGAGAAAGTTGCAATAAAGGGTGAGAGTGCCCCTGGTAGTCTAAGATACATTTCATCGGGTCCCATAGGTTCTCTTACATCGCGTTTACCTGGCAGATAAAAGATGTCGAGTTCCTTAATGACCACGATATTCAAAGTATGGATGGAAAGGTTCAGAAGTACCTGACGGACCAATAAATCTAGTCGTGAATACCTGAGCTTCATTTTGGTCGGTTACAACCGGCGAAGTCGTGATATGACCTTCATAAAGTACCATAATACTGTTCTTCTTCATTCTTTGATCTATGGAGAACTATAATCATTTTTGGGTATTCTATAAGACTCCTGACAACATTTTTTGTATTTTCCTCTTTATTTACGTATGGTTAGGTGTCACTTTGGATTTTGTGTTATTAAGATGTTTACTATTATCATCAGAAATCAGCAGTGGCGTTAATATGCAAGTTCAAACTGTAGTTTAAACGCTCTCTGATATATACAGCACCAAATGATAGAATGGTGGCGCTATCAGAGTGGTGTTTTTTATGAATATCAAATGGAATCTAGTTTTTGTATAGAGGTTTGTTGTTTTGAAAGTCATCGAACAACTATATCACCGTAAGCAACAAAATTTCTTGTAAATATGCTGTCTTACTATTACGGACAAAACGTTCCGGTATTGATCTTAACAAACTTCACTGAGAGTCCTCAAATGTTGGATCTCTAGAGCGAAATTTCTAAAATCCCAACCCAAACGGTGTGAAATCGAAAGTGTTTGGGGTCGAACTCGTGAACACGGAAGTCCTAAGTTTGAACCAATACAACCAAAAAAGTGAAACTAATCACATTCAATATGACAGTTGTTAATTAATTGAATAATTTCAGTTTTTTCTATAACACTCGCAACTAAAGAACGTTGGTCCTTTTCAAAGATGAGTAAAAATAAGCATAACGAGCAGTCAAAAGCAGATATTTAATAAACAAAAAGCACTCAGGGATTACGACAGTACGCCTGTGGCTCTGAGCAATCACCCACCACCTACTAATAGCCGAAGACCCAGTCTCCTAATGTTTATTTATAAAATTCTCTTTCCTGTCCTCAACCGTACTTGTCTTGCTAGTTCATCCTCATAAGTTATCACCCTGAACTGGACTAAGGGCTATTTATTTCCATTGAGGAGATAAGAAAACATCACCAATAAGTCACATTCTCTCGTGCTTTGCTTTAATTGAATCTACTTGTCTGCATCGTAACAGGGAAGCATGTTCTTTATAACTGGTTACAGAATCCTCGAGCTATCTTGTCTTCATCTTACAAAATGCGAGCCATCAGATGGAGTAATAATGAATCTCACTATGTTCTCTACTAATAGAAACAGCTCGATCAGGGTTATTGCTTCAAGATTATTGGGGTCGTCTGTATTAGGAACCAAGAGTCGAGTGTTAAAAATACGTTTGTCTTCTACCACGAAGGTTTTAATGCACTCTCATGTTAAAGGTTGTTCATTTACTAGAGGACTTGACAAGTTACGAATATACTGAATCATGGGCCTCCGGTCACCCTAGTCCATTGTCTATAAGCCAGAGGATTGAAATTCGAGTCAGTTCTCTTCCTGAGCAAATCAAAACATATACGTTTCCTCTAATTCATGTTCGGCGTCCATTAACTTTGATCACGAATCACTGTGTATCCTATGGTCTATACTGGTGACAATACTGTAAAGCTGTGGACTCAAGGACAACATACTTTGACAGGTAATTATTGTTACTAATAAGATATATATATACCTTAACTATACAGATTCTAAAACGATTATCAATGAAGCTGAATTATGTTGATATATATCGCGATGGAATGTGATCGAATGTCCTTTTTGTATTGCCAATGTCGTAATAAAGTAATTGGCAATACTTAATCAGTTATCTTCATGTTTTCGGTGAAACTGAAATGTGGACTGGTATTGCTAACTGGTAAAGATGTTTGCGACAGGTTTTTGTGTCGTCATATAAGAGCTCAAAGTGCATACCCGGAGAAAGCAGTCACATTCATATCACTAAAAGTTAGCATTCTCTGAATGAAATATTCCCTTGAGAATATACATGTAATAAATCTGCTCTTTAGTACATAATTCTCGTTTGCATTCCACTCAAGTTGTCACTGCCTAGAATAACTCCATAGTGGTTTATTGATACCTTCATCATACAAAGAAATACATGACATTATCCTAAAAAATAATTAAAAGTCATTAGAAAAGCAATGCAATCTCTCGAATCCCCAAAATAGATGTTACATTATTAACCAAATGGACATCAACTTACGATATTCTGGTTAACTTCTGTCAAGCAGGAACAATAAATACAGTTTACAATGTAATTTCACAGTATTGCTCTACACGGAATAGGAACTAACCTACTGTGTGACGAAAGAGTATGTTCAGGAGTAAAAGTTGATATTAAATGGTTCAAATGGTTGTGGACGTAATAGAAGAAGCTTCCGCTCAACAGGCTTTCGTGTCTAGTAGCATAGGATCACAAATACCTCCAGGCAGGAACCTAGGTATGTTAACGATAAAAGAGGAAAAAGAAATTGGTAAATCACAGTATGATACTAGCCTCACACCTTATGAATAGATCAAGTCGCCTCTTAAAAGACTCGTGAGAAGTTGCTTGGATTAGCTCGGCCGGTAGCGAATTCCAGCACTTGACAACTTTTAAGGAGTAGTAGCTGTATCTACAGTCCGTTCTGCTACGTTGTGTCCCCAATTTCCGGGTGTTACCCCTTAGGTTGGTATTGGGACTAAGCTTAAGTAGGTGTTTAACAGGATGTCCAGAAGTGTTAAAGATACTGTAAGCCATCAGGTCACCTCTAAGACGCCTACACTCTAATGGATGAAGGCTAAGTGATTGGAGCCGCTATTCATAAGATTTAAATTTGAATCCTTGGACAGATCTAGTGGCTCGTCGTTGGATACGCTCCAGAGTGTTCTCATCCTTTTGAGGTGGGGGAGGAAATACTGTTTCCGTAC